AACGACATATCTTAGGAAATGTGTGTGAAGTAAAGCCTGAGACTGGAAGGCTCTATAATCCAGTGAATTCATTGTGAAAATTTTTGAAAAGACTTTTGATAACTGCTACAGCTCTTCTTTTGTCTGACGTAATGCTTTACCAAAGTTATCCAGCTCTCAAAGTCTATTTTTTGAAACTTTTAATAACTTTTTTGTAACTTTTTCAATCTAAAACCACACTAAAATAAAATTCAACATTAAACACCTCCCTCAAAACGTTCTCTCTACAACACAAAATACTAAACATTTCAGTGACAGATCCTTAACAAAAAACTAACATGAACCATCACTACCGGCTCCCATCAGCTGGTCTGCTGAAAAACTGTAATCCCACATTTAAAACTACATTAACAGAATATGTACACAATCAGAACTGATTACTCATTGTTCCCTGCACAAACAACATTCTCCTAAGTAACAAGAAGTTCATTTCTATTAAAAAAGGAAACAGTCTGTGTGAGTCGCTGTCACAGAACAAAAGCACATCTGGAAACATTTCTGCAGATGAACTCTTGGTTGGAACAATTTGGTGAGTCTCTTTTTAATTTTTTCCCTTCCATGGCTCCCAGAAGAACCAGAATTCTGACCATAAAAAACACAGTACGAACATACTTTAGTAACAGGAAGTGTTCAGGTAGGAGAGAGGGGCTTCAGAGTGAGGTTTCCAGACTGTGCAAGGGGCTTCCTGGACAGGGTGGTAGTCCTGCTGAGTTGGGAGGGACCAGTGCAGACCTGGAGATGTCCTTATGTAACGGGATGACACGGTCCAAGGCGTTGTTGTTCTCGTTGGAGGTGAAGGGGAGAGGCGGCTGGCTGGACAATCCAGTAAGTGGCGGTGGGATGAAAATAGAGTTTCGTTTGGTAGGGGGATCATCTTCACTCTCATTTTCATCGATGAGGGGGATCTGAGGTTCTGAGTCTTCAATACGGAACTCGGGATGATTCATGAAGTTGTGAATGGAACTGCGAGATTCAGGTGTCTCCAGACCTTCATAGGGAGACACACTGTCCCTGAAGGCCTTCACCACACGGATCTGGCAGATCAGAGACAGTGAGTCAACTCAGGTAGATCATTTACAGCAGCAGTCCCCAACCTGTTTTGTGCCACGGACCGGTTTATGCCTGACAATATTTTCATGGACCGGCCTTTAAGGTGTCGCGGATAAATACAACAAATTAAAACTAGTACCGGTACCGAAAAAAAATA